ATCAGATTTAGCTCCTCGGTTAATTTTCTAATTCCCTAGGGCTAGCTGTTCTGATCATTTGAAAGAACTTCCTTGGGGAGGGAGCAGATTCTTGTAAATCTGGCCACATAATTTCACAAGCAAAAAAAGACCCCATAAATTTTCCTAGCTGTAACCACTAAGTCCATGTTAGTAACAGATTACTATAGATGTACCATGAAGTCTCCCAGTAATGCCCAGTTGCTAGTTAAAGCCGTTGACTATCCCATTCCCTCTTACATATACACACATTTAAAAGACTAATTAGGGTGAATATATTTTATATACACAATCTTGACTCTGCCATAATTAAGTTTTAACCTTTATACCCAAATATACCGTGTCTTGGAATAAATATTATTTATTATTAGAAACATCAGTCTGGAGGTTACCTCACAACGTCTGCCTGATTGATCATGTTCAGGCGAGAGGCTCTGTGTATGAGGAGGCAGGCTGCAGGTTTGTCTGCCTGCCTGGGTCCTTCTTACCAAAGCCTTCCATCCACTAACTGTATTGAGTGAGCACCACCCACACTCTATGTCATGGTCATATTGAAAGAAAGAATGAAAGGCAAAACTGGAAACTGGGGGAGTTACCTGGGCCAAAACTTCAAACCCTTGACCATTTTCTCCTTCCATTTGGAGGAAGGAAGGTGAGAAGACGCTAAGAGAGGAGGGAGGAAAAAGTCACCCTTTCATTGAACACTGGAGTTTCCAATCTATAAATAGATGCAGTTTTATTAACCCTTTTTACACACATAACGGAGGAAGGCAGTCACTTGTCTATGAGCATAGTAACTGTTACGGCCCCAAACATCTTTGCTATGAAAACCAGACTCTTTTTTTTTAAAAAGACTTTTTATTTAAATTAGAAACAAGCTTCTTTTACATGTCAATCTCAGTTCCCTCTCCCTCCCCTCCTCTCCTGTCCCCCACCGACCCCCCTAACCCAACCCCTTTCTGCTTCCCAGGGAGGGTGAGGCCTTCCATTGGATATCTTCAAAGTCTGTCATACCATTTGGAGCAGAGGCTAGACCCTCCCCAGGGTGTCTAGGCTGAGAGAGTATCCCTCTATGAGGAGAAGACTCCCAAAGTTCATTTGTGTACTAGGGATAAATACTGATCCACAACTAGTGGCCCCATAGATTGTCCAGCCCTCCAAACCGACATCCTCCTTCAGAGGGTCCGGAACAGTCCTATGCTGGTTTCCCAGCTATCAGTCTGGGGTCCATGAGCAACCCCGTGTTCAGGTCAGCTGTTTCTGTGGGAAAACCAGACTCTTATCAAGCACTTTTGCTCAGGAAGTCTCCCACTGGGCTCAATGCTACCTCATCCTGAGATGCCTGTGCATTCCTGGTGGGAACCCTGAGAAAAGAAGTCAGCCATTTTCTGTTGACCACATAGTCAGGACCTCCTGGGACGACCTCTCCCTGACTAACAAGCCCCAAATCTGGACTCTCTTTGGGAACACTAATATGCGTCAACTACATCTAGACATGTGTGTATGAAACCTGCTAGATTAATGTCTCAAAAAGTAATCACAATCTATGAATATTTTTAAATTTGATACCTTTCCAGGGTTCTAACATTAACTTAGCTCGTTTTTACTTGAGTGAGAACTAATCCAAATTCTAAAATCTTTACAAATTGCTGCTTCAAACATCTTTGATAAATATTTCTATCAAATAAAAAAGCTGTGATAAAGCTTTAATGTTCTCCTATTGTTAAGTAAATAAAATTTTAATAAAAAGTAGTTTTGTTTCTACTGTGATTAAAAGAAAAGGAAATGCCTATCTTCTCCTGAGCTGTGACAAATATGTGCATTTTTAATCATGACTGTGTGGCAGTAGAAATCAAACACATGACGTCTAGAACCAGACTGGGAAGATGTGACATCTGACTGCCCATTTTTTAGCTGTGTCACCATGGGGAAGTATCCCAACTTCTCTGAACTTCACATAAACAGGTAATGTTTGTAGTCATGTGGTATGGTTAATTTTGTCAACTTGACAGGATCTCGAATTACCTAGGAGCAAACCTTCAGGCATGTCTGGAAGTTTTTAGATTGGAATGGTGGAAGTCAGGAAATCCCACTTAAATATGGGTGGGACCATCCCTTGGGCTGCAGTTCTGTATGGAATAAAAAGCAGAAAGGAAGCTCAGCACCCTGTTAAACTGAGCCCCATGTTTGTATCTCTCTGCTGTCTGAGTACTGATGCAACATGACCACTGTCTTACGCTTCCCTGGCCATGCCTTCCCCACTATGGTGATCTGACCCTCAAACTATGAGCCAAAATAATCCAGTCTTAATTCCCTTTTGTCAGGTGTTTTGTCAAAGAAACAAGTAATCCATGTACTATGTCTGGGAGACACTGAATGAGTCTTGGCTGATACTTGCAGGAGTAATTGCTACAAGCAATCACTCTAACATGAGAATTTCTGAAATGTACAAGTGCATTATCTACAAATCTTGCTCCAAATGTATTCATCAATATTAATAATATTAAATTTGACAATTAATGAAGATGATATGCTATAATTCAAAGACATCTAATTTACTGCTCAGTGTTGCAGCTTTCATTTAGTATTCTGAGCCCATAGTTTGTTTGTTTTCCTCTCTGGTCTCAGATGTTTGTTTGTATTGGCCCCAGAAATCAACCACTCCAAAGCAATGCTCCTGTGGAAGCTGATGGACAGAATGCCCTTGGCCAAAGTAAATAGGACCATTCTGACCCTAATCTTTCTGGCTTCAGTCCCCACGCCCATCATAGCCTGTTTCCTGAAGAACATGTTCTTTTCCCAGCAAGAGTCTGGAAAAGTGACTAGCCATTTTAGAAAGAGCCAAGCAGCAATTCGGAGATAGAATGAGGCAAAACCCCAGGTACTGTCAGTGAGCCAAAACTCTTAAATCACGTTTGGTATAACTTCAGAGTTATACCAAAAGCTGTGCCAAGACCGACCCTGCAATTTGGCACAAATGGGAGAAATAGTGACTTCGTGGCAGGTTGTAACTGACATTACTATTTTTAATCCCCTCAAATAGGATTGTTTCTCAAGAGATATACAGGTATGGGATAGCATGTCATTTTGATTCCAAAAATGTTCAAGTTTTACATGTTCAAAGAATAAAAATTTTACCTCGATGAATCAGATGGACAAAATATTATTTAGTATTCCTAAAAATGTAGGTCTCCAAGACTGCTTTTACCCTCAGAGGCAATGGTTTTCCAAATATGGCAGATGGTGAACCTTGAGAGCAGAGATGCTTTAAAATCACTAAGGCGCCACTGCGTTTGTGACTTGCATTTTGAAAATGCATTGCAAATGCAGTGGTGGATTAAGCTGGTTGTCCCTCAGGACATACCAAGGCTGTAAAATCAGAAAGGACCAATAGTGAATGCCTTCTGTACCACCACCCACGTAAAGGGGGGAGGGAGGAGGAAGAAAAAACAATTTCACTCAAAAAATATTCTTGATGAAACAATAAGAAAAATCTTACTAAATCTCAACCCTTTGTATTGCGCACAATGTGGAAGTAGAGATGGAGTGTTCTGCTGCCTCCCAAAGTCTGAGGATTGTCTAAAGAAAATTCTGAGCTTCAGACCAAACTAGCCCCTTTGCTCAGGAAATGGCATTTATATCTGAACAAATGACTGGCAACAAACTATGGCATCCACAGTTTGGGGCATTTGGTAATCCATTTTTACTAAAAAGGGATCTGAGAAACCTATTGCTTCAGAGAAAAGAGCAAACTTGGTAAGTTTTAAGCTTTTAAGCTAAAATTATAATTTGGGAAGATTCGAATTTACTACAATTTGATGTGGTCTAAGATTACACATGGTGAACAACTTCTAAAACAATTGCCATTTGTCCAGTTTTAGTAGGATAAGCAAGAATGATGCTGCCAATTATCTGAAAAATACTGTTAAAAGTTTCTTCAAACAACAGATCCCTACAAGGCCACACTTTGTTCCTACATTTCAACCAAAACAGCACCTTACATATGTAGGAACACATGTAAGAATGGAAGTGTCTTCTGTCAGTCTGGGAATTTTATTTAATTAATTCATTTTGGTCATTTTTTGCATTTGGGGGTTTGTTTAGTCCCAGCTCTCCTGGAACAAGATATGTAGATCATAGGCTTGCAGCAAACTGACAGACATCCTCCTGCCTCTGCCTCCTGAGTGCATGCCACCATGTCTGGCCTAATCTAGGCATTTTGAACATTTACACATATGTAAAGCAATATATACATTCTGTAGAAAGTAGAATTAGGAATACGGAGGCAGGACGGTTGTTTAGAATTCTCAAAGGCCTGGGTTTGATTCGCAGTACTACAGAAATTAGGTAGGTGCTACCAGTGTAACACTTGGTAGATGGTGGCAGAAAGATCAGAAGTTCAAGTCAACCTCAGCTACATAGTATGAGACCAGATTGGGACACACAAGACCCTGTCTTAAAAAGAAAAAGAAGTAATTATTTTTTATAAAATATATGTAACTTATGTTTACATGTAATAGGTCTTTAATCTAAGATTTTAAGACTTTCTTTGTTGATTTATAATATGAAATACAAATTAGTATAACTCACATAAACAAAAGCTTTGTAGTCCTCTATCATTTTTACAAGTGAAAAAAAAAAAGTCCATCCTGTCACAAAAATGTTGATACCTGCTGCCATGCTACACTTATCTGTGTTCTAGGCCAGTGGCCATTGTGACATCAGCATCAGATGAGGACCACAGGAAGGATCACATGCTGTGGACTCTTAGTTCACAAAACTCTGCTGTGGAAGAGATAGGCAGACCACCTAACCCTGCCTGTTGCTGCCTTTGATGTTCTCCATGGGATATTCAATGATGTGACAGCAAAGAACTCCAACAAATAGGAAGAGAAAGGCCATCCACAGAAAAAAAGACAATTTCTTCCCTTGATTCCTGTCATGCTTCCCATCGCTTTGTGTCTTGTATCTCAGTGAAAAAAATGTACCGATTTCACACCAAAAGAGTAAAGGCTGCTGCTGAACATGTGTGGACTTCAAATCTCCACAAGATCAGACGATCTCTTAAAACTGTTTACCAGAAATGTAAGACCCAGTGCTCATATTCAACTAGATACCCAGGGACTGATTCTTATGACTGTGACCAAGATGCTCTCAGTTTGAATGAAGAAATGAATCTAACAGCAATGCTCCAAGACATTAAAGGGGGACAAATGGAACTCCTCAGCCAAATGACTGACATTGTCAATGCAATATCAAATATCCAGGAAAAGACTGACCATTATCAGAAGCAGATGGAAGTCCTAGAAACAAGAATAAACATTATCGAAGACAGACAAATCATAGCCACCAAAGACATCCTCTCCATGAAGGAAGACATCAACACTCTAAAAAAGAAGGTGATAGAGCTGGAAAGCCAGAATTCTCACTCCAGCATACGCTGCCTAGAGGTTCTGGATGGACAAAAGGGCAAAGAAATCATGCAACTGTTCCATAATCTCCTACAAACAGGCATTCCAAAGGACATGGACACTGAAAGCTCTTCAGCAGAATCAGGAAGGGTGCCTAGCTACCGGCAACCCACTGGTCAGATTAAGGAAAAAGCAATGTCTCCTCAAATGAAAGCTCTGAAGAAAAATAACAGCGTCCGGAATGCATCTGTGAGTTGCAGAAAGGTAAGGTCAAATATTTATATTTACCCTGACTTCAGTACATGGATCAAGCTCACTTTTGTTCATGGAGGAAAATGGAGGTTTTTCCTCAGTGCCACCAAGTTAGAGGAATTCATCCAGTGGCTTCTGTCTAGGCCAACCATCCTTCCCGAGGAACCACAAATCATATCCCGGAGAGACCGTGCCTTCACTGGACCCATTGAGAACTTGGCCACAATCTGTCTCTCTCTTTTCAACTATCTTTACTACCTTTTTGGTTCCTCAAAACAGGAAATAACTCGTCTTTAGAGTTATTTTCTGCTTGCCTCAGTACAAAATAAATGTAGCCCACTGGCTTCAAATAGTCGTATGTGTTTGTGCTGTCTGTGAACTCTAGTTTGCTGGCTATGTGCCCACCGTGCCCACCGTCACAAAGTTCCTACACGACTACTGTTAAATTGTATCATGTCATTAGACTGTTGTGATCCATTTTCTGCCAGTGTTCTTGTCCTCTCCAAAGCAGTTCATGAGGGCTCATCTTGTGCCTGATTTCATAAATAATTAGAAGCCAGAATGAAAGGGTCAAAGAAAATGTGAAACACTTGGGGGCTTCCACATCAGTACTAGTGGCTTTTGGCTGATAAAAAGTGTGATATAAGATAAATATTTTAACAATATAAAGGAAAAACATAGACCCATTGTCAAAACCACTAAAACTAAGGTTATATTGGGGCTGGAGAGATGGTCAGACATTAAAAAACATTTGCTTTTCTTACAGAAGACCTGGGACTGGTTCCCAACATACACCTTGGGTTGTTACTTGTAACTCCAGTTCCAGGAAATCTGATGCCCACTTCTGGCCTCTGTGAGCATCTTCATGTACATGGTTATATATACATAAACTCAGGTACACATATAAACATTTTAAAAATTGTTAGAAAATATGTATAAATAAAAGGGCAAGTTATTGCAAGGAAAATATTAGTCAACAATGAGATTTTTTTTCTTTCAACGTCAGCTTCATCTCTATTTGTCAGTTAGATGTGAAAGGAAAGGCTAAATACAGTTTGGCAATTCTTTTACGTTTTCTTGAAAGGAGACAAATACTATGCCCTGCCTATTTGCTACAGAGGAAAAGGTAAAAACTGAAGAGACGTCTGTGAACTAAGTAAGTCTCATTGCTATGGTACTATAGGCCTTTACCTGGCAAGGTATGTATCCAAATGAGATGTTATTTGAGGGCAAGCTTTGTTTTTAGATGTCATAGATATCTAGACACTATAATGTCATTTTTCTTAATATCAGAACAGTTTAAAAATGCCTCCCTCACTTCTTAACCCAGTGAAGGAATCGTCTTCCCTATTGTGACCATGTTATTAAACTGAAAATATTCTCTGTATATGCACTAATTTTAGTTACCCCCAGTTACCAATTTGAAAATAGAGAACAAAGACAGCAAAAACTAGAAGAGTTAAATGGTCAATACAGTTTAGTCTGGGAGTAATAGGCACCAATTTTTTTTTTCATTTGTGAATTCAATTCATTTTATCCTCCTTTACAAATTTACAGGTATGCGTGTACACAATAGCCTTCAATACATTGCTTTAAAAATATGCCCATGTGCAATACACTTAATAAAATCTAGAGTATATCTTAAGTGTGTAAGTGTGTCAGCTTTAGCAATTTCTGTGTACTGTTAGCCAACTAAAGAATGTGTGCAAGGAGCAGCCAGATCCCTAGTTAGGCACATGGGTATCCAGACATGAAGAAGGTGGCCATGGCTTGGTCAAATGACAACATAAATGTCTTCTACAAAAGAAAGGAGTCACCACGTATATTTGGAAGTTCGGTGTGTCAGAGCATGCATCATTTTCCACTGACACATCTCAGACAGTTTAAGATTTTCAAGAGACTACTTGCTGAGGAGGGAAAATATATGTGTGTGTGTGTGTGGAGAATCACAACCTGTATGTTGTGAACCTAACTTCTAAGTCTTTGAAGTTCTATTACTTAATTGTAATTAGGTTTTCTCTGACTTTTGTAAAATGAGAATTAAGTTAATCTGTTAGAATTTTTTCCCCTGAAACAGGAGATCATGGAATATAAGAGTGAGAAAGAAAAAGGCATTCTCTACTCTTTATATACACAGCACTAAGAAGAATGCATAAAGTGTGCACACAAACAACCTTAAGGCATGACAGATGGGGCTGGGCAGCTGAGAGCAATCGGAAAAGGACTTCCAGCATTGGAGGAAAGAGAGCATTGAGGAGGCTTGAAAGGCAGGGAGGAGAAGAGGGCAATGGAGCAGACAGAAGGACAAACAAACACAGTCACAGGAGTGAGACTGATATGGAACATAGGAAATAAAAGCCAGGAAGCATTGCATATATACAAAGTACAGACCTTTCAAGGACCTTATTCTCTTCAGTGACTTTCTCACAGTGCTTACTTTAACCCATGCTTTAACACAAATGCTGGATGTAGTGGCACAATCCTGTAATCATAGCATTTAGGAAGCTAAGGCAGAGGGAATCACAAGCTTATTCAACAAAAGCCTAGGTGCAATAGGCCTTTCTAAGGAGAAAGGAAGAGGAGGATAGACAGAATCAGGGTGACTGCATAATTTTCTCAAGGATTCAGAAGATGATTCTGTTCATCCTCAAACTGTGGGTCGTGACCCCTTCAGGAGGGGGGTCACATGTCAGATAGCCTACATAGCAGATATTTACATTTCACAATTTATAACAGCGGCAAAATTACAGTCATGAAGTAGCAATGAAATAATTTTATGGCTGGGGGGTCACCACAACATGAGGAACTGTATTAAAAGGTCACAACCTTGGGAAAGTTGAGATCCACTGCTCTAAGGAAAAGAGACATTTTGCTTTCTGACAAGACTGCACGTGATTTGCTGAATTAGAAAAATGCTCATATGTGCATGAGAGTAAATAATCTGTTTTTCAGGTCTGAATTCGCAAGCCTCTTCCCTTGCTCACTTCCATTCTTAGTAGCTCAGAGAAAATGTTGGTCTTGTCTCCATTCCTCCTCCAGTCACTTATCAATCACTCTCCTTTCTTTATTTTCTTGCATGGTATTTTATTTTATGTGTAGGTCTATACATGCCATAGAGCATGTATTGCTTATGTATGAAGGCCAGGGGCCAGCTGTGAGAGTTCGTTCTCTACTTCTATCACTTAGGTTCTGAGCCATTGCTCTTCTAGGTCCTTCTTGGTTTTCTTCACTGATTCCTCCAGTCCCAAATATTCCTCTAAAATATGGATAATGAGTCAGCTTAAATGAAGGAACCCACAATTCAGAATCTCTTGAGACCCTCTGAGCTCTTGACTGAAGTGAACACATAACTTCTTTGAATTGCTATGAAAAAAGCTAGCTATAAATATATATTAGACAAATATATATACACATAAGTATACATGCTCAGATATAAAGCCTATTGTGCTTTCACCAAAATGTCTCAGACCCTTGTTGCTATAAATTAAGCACATTTGCTGGGGATGTGATAGGGTAAAGAATCACTTTACCTGTGATAGGGTAAAGAATGAGGGATTTGAGAGAACCGGCTTTAGAACCATTGCTCACTGAGTAGATAAGCAGAACTGGCCACTGTGCCCCAGTTGTGTGTGTGGTGATGCTTGTGACTATATGATTATGGCAATTTCCTTTAAGGCTGGCATTCTTCAGTTTTCTTAAATCTAAATTAAGAGCAATTTATGTCTTGGGATTGTTGCATTAATTGAGTAGGATCACATGTTGTGTGTGCCCGTAAGTGCCTGATTTAGCAGATACTCAATAAAGGGTAGTCATTTCCTTCCCTCTTTAACTAGATGGAAGGGTGTTAACAAGGGGCATGAAGATGAATGGGACAGGGGCCTCGCCTCAAAGAGCTCCCTCCAGGACTCTGCCTCCTTTTATCAGCTATAAAAGACTCTAGACAAATAATAAACAAAGTGACAGGCTAAATACAAAAGCTTCAAACCGATTCTTGACTGCCTTATCCAAAGATAGTGTGATAAGAATAAGACAGGGTGTGAATCTCCCCTCCTGATCTGGGCACCCAACCAATATTCCATCATCTGCAATAGTCGTTCGCCAACCTTTAATTGCACTCTATATAAATAAGCAGCAAAGGAAAGGACTTGGAAGGAAGGAAGAAGACTGAGTTTAATATAAATAACTTAGTTCAGTTAGGAATATTTACTTCGATAGGTGTATTCACCAAGAGGACTCTGTTTATTTAAAACAAGATGCATCAATCAACTTGTATTGAAATCTGACACTGTGCCTGGAGCCAGCAGAGCTAGGTGTGAAAAGACAGATAAGACGACAGTCCTATTCTGAAGAAACATACTTTTAAATGGTGTTCTTTCTACCTGCAATTATGTTAGCCTGCTGCTTAGATTTAGACTGAAAAACAATTCACTAACCTCAAGCAAAATTTGATCTTTTTTCATGGAGCACAACTTGAGTTCCTGTTGGGGGGGGGGGAAAGCCATGGTTATTCCTCAAAACAATAGCTCAAGCTTCCTCAATATTATTTTATGTTTCTCCAAAAATATAAATGGTGGCCAACATATTAATGACTTACGCGCTGAAACATCAGTTGTAAGGTTTACAAGAGGAAAGTACATCATGAATATATATTAGTTGGACTTTTGCTATGTTGTAAAAATAGCAATAAAGTGCCTGAGATAATGATATTAATGAAACTGCAAAGGCAAGCCTTTGTGTATTTTTATGCTAACATATATTCATAAAAACAACTACAAGAGCGGCTGTCCTGATAGTTGAGTTGGGACTCCCACCCAATTAATGATGGAGTTTAAAAGTTCACTGGTTGTAGGCATTAATAGATGACTTTGGAAGGAGGGAACAAATGAAAAGAACTAAGTTTTAGCTAGGGCAGGAACTCTAGAATTGAGAATCTGAAGTGGGGGAACTCTTGGGTGAGGAAGGAGACAAGGGTTTCTTTGGCTACTGAGGGGACTGTCTGGAGAATAAGGGCTGAGGTGGATCCAAGTGCCCTACAACGTGAAAGGACCAATGTCTAGAGACACTATAAAGTATGGTGGTGCATGCCTGTATTACCAACAATACAGAAATAGAGTTAGGAGGATGAGGATTTCAAGAATGCCCTTAGCCATTTAGCAGGTATAAGGCCAGGCTTAGCTACATGTCTCAAAAAATCATAACGCAAATTTTTGAAAAGTCTGGAAATGAGAAAATATGCTTATAAAACATGTAATATAGGGTGTGTGTGTGTGTGTGTGTGTGTGTGTGTGTGTGTAGTG